GAAAGATAGAAACAACAGCAGGAAAGTAAAGAAGTAGACGTACGAGTTGCGCCCTCATTCCAACTACCCGATTTAGGAAAAAAAGAGACCGACATACAAAAACAACAGTAGAAGAAAAAAGAAGTAGAACTAGCATGTTTAGTTTTAGTTTTAGTAAGAGTTTTACGGCACTTGCAACACGATGAGATCATATAAGTGCCGAAGATTAGAGAGGCGTTACAAGACGGTAACAAACACAAACAAGAAGGAGGGGAGATAAGGACTATAGATGTTCGATAGGAAAGAGATGTTCGATAGGAAAGAAGAAGCAAACCACACCAGAGCACCCATCAACCGCCCACAAGTAGCGTGCAAAGCTTCATGACGCTAGACTTACCAACACACCGCAAAAACCTGGGCACACACAAGTGGCATAGACAATGTTGTCACTTCACGTCGCTGTTTGTCCGGCCCCCAAGTTATGCGCCATTAAGTAATTCCAGACAATTAAGTGATAACGGCAATCATTGAGAACACAAACGTTGCGTTCCGTGCAAACATCGACGGACAAAAACCGCATTAGCGCCACACACACCCCACCCCCTCCCCCCCCCCCCCGAAAACCCCTATCACAATCCATGTCCTCTTCGGGTCCGACTGGCGAGGTGATCGAGGTGGTCACACGAACATCCCGCCTCAAAATAATATAAAACTTTTCACCTGTCGCCGGTCTCAGGGCCAAAGCGGTGATCTTTATTACCTGTTTACAGGGGACACAGCTTGACATTGTGCGACGCTGGGGCAGCCCTTTTCCCCGAGTCCGATGATGAATTCTGATTTACATTCGTTTAAAATAGTGTCGGTTGACACAAAAAGAGGGATTGTGTCTTTTGTAAGAACATTCATGAGTGAAACCAGCGTGAAGCAAAACAGCAATTGAGACCAATAAAAGCCTGGGAAAGACTACTACGTTGTACGTGTGTGAGAGGGGAGAGAGAGGGTGGGGAGGGGGCTGGGCACTATCATTGATACAATAACGATACTGTTCAGAAAAAGCTTCTTTTTTTTGGGGGG